GGAGGGAGGAGGACATGACTGATGGCGCAAGGGAGATGATTGATGGGAGGAGGAGGGGGGGGAGATGATTGATGGGAGGGAAGGAGGGGGGGAGATGATTGATGGGAGGGAAGTGGGGGGGAGATGATTGATGGGAGGGGGGAGAAGATTGGGGGGGAGAAGAAGAGAAGATTATGGGGGGAGAAGAAGAGAAGATTACGGGGGGAGAAGAAGCGATTACAGGGAGGGAAGGGGGGAGAAGAAGAGAAGATTACAGGGAGGAGAAGAAGAGAAGATTACAGGGGGAGAAGAAGAGGAGAACACAGGGAGGGGGGAAGAAGAGGAGAACACGGGGGGAGAAGAAGAGGAGAACACGGGGGGGAGATGAGAACGTAGGGGAGGGAGAGACCACTAAAGGAGGGAGGGGGCGGTGGAGAGACCACTAGGGGAGGGGTGTGAGGAGAGACCGCTATGGCAGGGGGGTGGAGGATAGACCACTAGGGGAGGGTGGGGGGAGATGAGAGACCACTAATGGAAAGTCGGGGAGAAAAGGAGACCACTAAGGGAGGTGGGGGGGGAGAGGAAAGACCACTAAGGGGCAGGGGAGATCTCTAAGGAATGGAAGGGAGAGCTCTATAGGACAGGGGGCAGGACAGGGAGCTCTTTCACACCACGCGCGCACACACACACACACACACATGCATCCCTATACACACAGAAACACAACATGCTTCCCTTACACACAGAGAAACACACAATGCAACCCTTACACATAAAGACAATGCATCCTTTGCACATATACACAGAAATACACAATGTATCCCTTACACACACATGCAAACACACACTGCTTCTCTTACACACACAGAAACACAATGCATCTCTTACACACACTCAACGCACCCCTTACAGACACACACTGCATCCCTTACATACACAGAAACACACTTTGCATCCCTTATGCATACAAACACAGATTCACACAATGCATCCCTTACACACAACAAGAAACACTCAATACATCCCTTATACACAAACACTCACTGCTTTCTATCCCTTACACAAAAACACACTGCATCACTTACTCAAACTGGTATCCCTATACACTACATTCCGTAAGCACACACATTAGATCCTCTACAGTAACACATAACACATCCCCTACACACTCTACTCCCTGTGAGCGAACTCATGGGTGGAACATGTAGGTGGACTTATGGGTGGGCTTTATGGGCATACTCACCGTCAGGCCCTGGGGCCCAGACCTTGAGCTATGTAAGAGGCCCCAAAAAATGGAGCTGCTTCCCGTTCTCCCAGAACATTGAATTTTGTGACCACAGTTACAAACAGCCTCCAGAGATCCTGTTCTACACCAGACCAGTGGAGCCAGACTGCAGCCAGAGCCCATCACCATCCTCATCTGATTGTAAGTAGGCAATCTAGTATATTATTAGTGACACTAATCTCTAATTTACCTCACATTAAATGGACACTATAGTCCCCAGAACCACTGCAGCTTAATAAAGTTGTTCTGGTGTCTATAGTTTGTCCCTGCAGGCTTTTTAATGTAAACACACACTGTGTGCAGCACTGGCATTAGTTCATATGGCAGATCATATGGGTGGGGCATTGTGATGTCCCGGGGGGGGAGGGGGCGGCAAATCTTTCTTTTGCCTAGGGCGGCAAAAATCCTTGCACCGGCCCTGGACGCACGCACATGCGGTCTTATTAGTGTAGGGAGAGGATGCTGCCACTGATAGGGACGGCTTAGGAAAGAATTCTGCAAACTAGTACATTAGTGGGGTGGGTTGCACTTCATATCTGAGAGTCAAATAGAAGCTTCAAATACCGCGGTTACATCAGAGTTTTAAAAAGTCAATTTTGTTGATTCTAAATAGTACATTAGTGGGATAGTACATTAGTGGGGTGCACTTCATATCTAAGAGTCACATAGAAGCGTCAAATACTGCTGTCACATTGCAGTTTTAAAACTTAAAATTATTTGGGTGCTAAACAGTATTTTAGGAGGGGGGGAACTTTATATCTGAGAGTCAAATCGAAGCGTCTAATAGTGTGCTTACAGCGCAGTTGTAAAAATTCTAATTTTCTGGGTGCTAATCTGCTAAATCGTACATTTGTGGACTGCACTTCATATCTGAGAGTCAAATAGAAGCGTCTAATAGTGTCTTTACTGCGCAGTTGTAAAAATTCTAATTTTCTGGGTGCTAATCTGCTAAATAGTACATTTTGTGGCCTGCTCTTCATATCTGAGAGTCAAATCGAAGTGTAATAGTGTGCTTACAGCGCAGTGGTAAACATTCTTATTTTCTGGGTGTTAATCTGCTAAATAGTATATTTTGTGGCCTGCTCTTCATATCTGAGAGTCAAATAGAAGCATCTAATAGTGTTCTTACTGCGCAGTTGTAAACATTCTAATTGTTTTGCTGCTAATCTGCTAAATAGTACATTTGCAGCCTGCAGTGCACTTCATATCTGAGAGTCAAATAGAAGCGTCTAATACTGCAGTTACAGCGCAATTGTAAACAGTCTAATTTTTTTGGTGCTAAACAGTACATTTTGTGGCGTGCACTTCATATCTGAGAGTCAAATAGAAGCGTCTAATACTGCGGTTACAGCGCAGTTGTAAACATTCTAATTGTTTTGCTGCTAAACGGCAAAATAGTAAATTTTGGGCGTGCTCTTCATATCTGAGAGTCAAATCGAAGCGTCTAATAGTGTGCTTACAGCGCAGTTGTAAACATTCTAATTGTTTTATTGCTAATCTGCTAAATAGTACATTTGCGGACTGCACTTCATATCTGAGAGTCAAATAGAAGCGTCTAATACTGCTGTCACATTGCAGTTTTAAAACTTTAAATATTTTGGGTGCTAAACAGTATTTTAGTGGGGTGCAATTCATATCTGAGAGTCAAATAGAAGCATCTAATAGTGTGCTTACAGCGCAGTGGTAAACATTTTTATTTTCTGGGTGCTAATCTGCTAAATAGTAAATTTTGGGGCCTGCTCTTCATATCTACAAGTCATGCTACAGCAAAATTAAACAAGTTTTAAAATATGTATGGGCCAACCAGTGGCTGTAAACAAAGTTTTACTGGTTACATTAATGACTACACACTCTAGTGAACAGGACCTTCATGTAGTGTGTTCTTTTTTTAAAAATCATACAGTATCCTTTCACGTGCTTTTCAGATGTCATATTGTGAATTACCAATTTTTGTGTAGCCTGATTTTTTTTTGATTTTTTTTAAAGTGACAAATAAGTGTTATTGTGATCGCTTCATATACAGAAGCATTAATATACATTTCTATATTGTGTAAAGACACAACTACAAAGTTAAAGGACAACTATTGTGCCAGGAAAACGAGTATGTTTTCCTGGGACTATAGTGTCCTGAAGGTGCATTCAGCCAGTCCATAGGAAGGCATTCTCAATGCTTTCCTATGGACGCTGGCGTCTTCTCACTGTGAAAATCACAGTGAGAAGCGCGGAAGCCCTCTAGCGGCTGTCAATGAGACAGCCACTAGAGGCTGGATTAACCCTAATATAAACATAGCGGTTTCTCTGAAACTGCTATGTTTATTAAAAAAAAAGGGTTAAAGCTAGCTGGACCTGGCACCCAGACCACTTCATTAAGCTGAAGTGGTCTTGGTGCCTATAGTGGTCCTTTAAAAACACCAAAACAACGTGCCAGACAATCTACCTGTACATGGCTAGTGTGATACAATAAGTCTACATCTTAAAAATCCAATAACCCACAGAAAATGGGTGAGAATTTTTTTTGCAAATGGAACTTTGATTCGAATTTACTACATCGGTAACTTGTAATATTGTTTCACACCTACAACACTTGTTACACAGATCTAAGTGATTGAAAACAGATTGATATTTTCTACACTAGAAACTACCAGATAACAAGCTGCTATATTTAAACCAGTTATCAATAGCTAAAAAGGTACTCAAACAATATTGTAATTCTGGGGCAATACCCTCACAAGTCAAACAGAGAGGTCAGTTTATAGGGAAAACTGTTGCCTGGATACAATTCTAAAACAATTTCCATATGTCCTTTGCAGACTTTACATGCTGGAAAAAACACAGGTGCCAAATGCTGTGGCTTTCTGCAGTGTGCATACTGGCAAGGAGGGCAGGGTTGAGGAGTGGGTGGAAGATGATGTGGAGGATGATGAGGTCCTAGACCCCACATGGAATCAAGGTCATGCGAGTGACGTGTGCAGTTTGGAGGAAAAGGCGCTTGTCGCACAGAGGCACCAGCACAGCATAAGAGGGAGCAGGGTGCAAAAGCGGAGCGGCCATCCCCTAGCGCTCTTCGGCATGTATTAGCTCGAGAATTACAAGTTATGCAAGTAATACATGTAGCGATCAAAGGATCCATAATAGAGTTGAGCAAACCCGAACTGCAAAGTTCGTGTTCATACCAGATTTAACGATCCATTCGTAGATTCACAGTGAGGTGGGCAGTCCGGTGACCAGGACCCAGACACTGTCTGGGCGGCGGTCGGACGACCGGACCCAGTATGCCTGATGTTGAAGTTAGGAGTCACGGTGTGGAATGGATTAGCAGGGTCTGGTGCAGGATAACTGCACGCCCCCTGGTGTTGAGCACCAGCGTTTGTGAGGCCACATACCAGGACCCTGATGCAGCTTCAGTAAAAAAAGAGTACTGGATACCAGAAGCCATCACTAGACTGATCCGCAACTTGGAACAGGATGTGGCATTCACTGTAGCGGCTGCGCGCGCTTTTGGCGTTGTCACCCTGCTGCTGCTTGCCTGTCTGCGCTGCAGCGTAACTTCGGCCTACCCGCTCACCGCCTCATGAGACTGTGCGAGCAGCAACAGGCGATAGTGGAGTTTCAGCTGCAGCACGCACGGGTCAGTGGCTCTGCACCAGACTTCCCTCCAATTGATCAGAGTTAAAGGATTTCAAGTTGACTCATTACAATTACAGGGCCTCTAAAGAGTCCTGTATTGTTATTTGTCATCACTACCTTCCCACGTCGGGAGTGGGTCATTTGCGCGCCTGCTGCCTTTCTTGCATGTGATAGCTGTTTCTCATGGTCCCTGTACGGAATGGAACCCTGATTCCCCGTTACCCGTGGTCACCATGGTAGGCGCAGAAACTGGCATCAAACGTTGATATGGATGACATCCGCATGCAAAGTCGCCGCCACAGGGATGTGCGATTGGCCCGAGGTTCTCTAGAGTCAACAAAGTGCCTGCGCAACTATAATGTTAACTACTACTCTGTGGAACAGAGTTGTCTTTTTTTTTATATGTCCCAATATTTTGGGGGCTAACCCAATTAAAATATATATTTATATATATTAAAAAAAACAGTGTTGGCTACCTCATCCTCCTCCTCTACCGCCACGGTCACCGCCTCCTCAACCTATGGGTCATTTAGTATAAACTATGTACACATTAGCAGAGACTTGTGAAGGCCTTTTCTCCATGCATCAGGACTGCAAGAAATGCACGCTGGCCACAAATGTTTCTTTTTTGTATGTCCCAATATTTTGTTGGCTACCACAATAAAAAAAAATAAAAAAAAAAAGACTGTCAAAACAAAAAAACCTTATCCTTACAAAACAAGAGGAAGATATTTTTATTTTCACAAGCATTAAGCAGTGTAAAAATCAGTAGAAAGATAATTGTAAGGATATCATCTGTAAATTTGATCATATATAGATGTATTGAAATCTTACACGCAATTTGTATAATGTTCCTAGAATGTAAATAATAACGATTTCAAAGTGTTTACTAGACTTGTGCGTTTGGTTTTGGCCAAATTGTAATTAACTAGAATGTGTGCTCCCCTATGTCAGGAAACAATCTCTATCTTAATGAAGATTTTATATCATTCTTATTTTTCCATTCAGTCACGAGAGGCTACAATGCTGCCCCATCTTTAATTTTTATATTACTGAAGATCCATCCACTTAGATGGACCAGCATTTCAAAAAGGTCTTAGGAAAGTGTTAACTTTCCCCATTTTCAATTTGTGGAGCGTCATTTTTACATTTCACTGGTATTACATTTTAGCTGTTATTGTCTGCACAGCCGAGATACTTCAAAGATTCTGCAATTCATGCAATTTTCTCTTGATGCTTTGATTATAGGCACATAATGTAATGGTTTGAGCAATCTTGACAGAAATTGGGATTCCAAGATTTGGAAAGCTCTTTAAAGCTACACAAATATTGAGTCTTTCTAATATTGTTATTCATATTTCATAGTTTGTTTATTTTAACATTTGATTATAACCTAAAAAAGTATGTCAGTGTGTGTGTATATCTGTAGTCAGTATATCTTTGTTTATGTAGTATGTGTGTATCTGCATGTGTGAAAATGTGTGAATGTTCATGAGTGTGTGTGGATGTGTATCTGCATGTGTTTCAAGTTGCGTATCCACGTGTCTTATGTACAGTTGCAAGAAAAAGTATGTGAACCCTTTGGAATGATATGGATTTCTGCACAATTGGTCATAAAATGTGATCTAAGTCATCTAAGTCACAACAATAGACAATCACAGTCTGCTTAAACTAATAACACACAAAGAATGAAATGTTGCCATGTTTTTATTGAACACATCATGTAAACATTCACAGTGCAGGTGGAAAAAGTATGTGAACCCTTGGATTTAATAACTGGTTGAACCTCCTTTGGCAGCAATAACTTCAACCAAACGTTTCCTGTAGTTGCAGATCAGACGTGCACAGCGGTCAGGAGTAATTCTTGACCATTCCTCTTTACAGAACTGTTTCAGTTCAGCAATATTCTTGGGATGTCTGGTGTGAATCGCTTTCTTGAGGTCATGCCACAGCATCTCAATTGGGTTGAGGTCAGGACTCTGACTGGGCCACTTCAGAAGGCGTATTTTCTTCTGTTTAAGTCATTCTGTTGATTTACTTCTATGCTTTGGGTCATTGTCCTGTTGCAACACCCATCTTCTGTTGAGCTTCAGCTAGTAGACAGATGGCCTTAAGTTCTCCTGCAAAATGTCTTGATAAACTTGTGAATTCATTTTTCCTTCAATGATAGCAATCCGTCCAGGCCCTGACGCAGCAAAACAGCACCAAACCATGATGCCCCCACCACCATACTTCACAGTTGGGATGAGGTTTTGATGTTGGTGTGCTGTGCCTTTTTTTCGACACACATAGTGTTGTGTGTTTCTTCCAAACAACTCAACTTTGGTTTCATCTATCCACAGAATATTTTGCCAGTACTGCTGTGGAACATCCAGGTGCTCTTGTGCAAACTGTAAACGTGCAGCAATGTTTTGTTTAGACAGCAGTGGCTTCCTCTGTGGTATCCTCCCATGAAATCCATTCTTGTTTAGTGTTTTACGTATTGTAGATTCGCTAACAGGGATGTTAGCATTTGCCAGTCACTTTTGTAAGTCTTTAGCTGACACTCTAGGATTCTTCTTCACCTCATTGAGCAGTCTGCGCTGTGCTTTTGCAGTCATCTTTACAGGACGGCCACTCCTAGGGAGAGTAGCAGCAGTGCTGAACTTTCTCCATTTATAGACAATTTGTCTTACCGTGGACTGATGAACAGCAAGGCTTTTGGAGATACTTTTATAACCCTTTCCAGCTTTATGCAAGTCAACAATTCACATCAGGCAATGCTTCTTGTGAAAAGCAAACCCAGAACTGGTGTGTGTTTTTTATAGGGCAGGGCAGCTGTAACCAACACCTCCACTCTCATCTCATTGATTGGACTCCAGTTGGCTGACATCTCACTCCAATTAGCTCTTGGAGATGTCATTAGTCTAGGTGTTCACATACTTTTTCCACCTGCACTGTGAATGTTTACATGGTGTGTTCAATAAAAACATGGCAACATTTCATTCTTTGTGTGTTATTAGTTTAAGCAGACTGTGATTGTCTATTGTTGTGACTTAGATGAAGATCAGATCACATTTTATGACCAATTTGTGCAGAAATCCATATCATTTCAAAGGGTTCACATACTTTTTCTTGCAACTGTATGTAACTATGTAACTCTGTGCAGTACTTGTCTAAGAAGAACCTCTAGTGGCCATCTGAGTGACAGCCACTAGAGTTGTTAACAGGCACCAAACTAAGCGTTTACATTGAAAAGCCTACATGGACAGGCAATAGACACCAGGACCACTACGTTATGGTGTAGTGGTTCTGGTGACTATAGTATCCCTTTAAAATTACCAAATACACAGTCTAGCACTAATGAGCATAATTAATCCAGGCAGCTATCTAAAAAAAATCATCATTATTGTACTATAAATCTTTGTTGGTTACAAGACTTTTGTACTGCGAAATTAAATTGAGTGGTCCTAAATTTGTTCATATGGTATTTTAGTTCATTATAATTTCGACCATGCAAACGATTGGGGAAAAAACTATTCAGAAGAACCAAAAGGGTGTGAAAATGGGACAATCAGTGTAATGCAAAATATAAATATTATGCATCAATCATCTTTTTTTTCCATCAAGTGGCCAAGTAATTGTCTGTTCTCCATTTCATTTGTTTCATGATTTGTCCTTAACTTTTTCAGAGTTAGAGAATTTGGATGACCTGCCGATTCAGGTGATCTGTGGGTGACTTTTCAAAACTTGGGGAAAGCGCAGTTTGCTTGAAACCGAATGCTCAAATCTATTGATTACTGTATATCTCTATCATAAGAAAATTTACATTATGTGACAAATGTTACGTGACAAATGTTTACTCTTATAAGTGTAAAGGAGGAGACTATATTTAAAAGAAGAAAAACTACCACAACAAGAGGACATAGTCTTAAATTAGAGGGACAAAGGTTTAAAAATAATATCAGGAAGTGTTACTTTACTGAGAGGGTAGTGGATGCATGGAATAGCCTTCCAGCTGAAGTGGTAGAGGTTAACACAGTAAAGGAGTTTAAGCATGCATGGGATAGGCATAAGGCTATCCTAACTATAAGATAAGGCTAGGGACTAATGAAAGTTTTTAGAAAATTGGGCAGGCTAGATGGGCCGAATGGTTCTTATCTGCCGTCACATTCTATGTTAATCACTAGCTCTTATAAGAGTATATATTGAGTAGGAGAAGTCCACCCACCCTGGACCCAAGACCAGGATCCAGTGGGTGGACTTATATGACAATCCCAATGCAAGGGGTATGTCCACATGTAAATCAGAAGGTTACAAGGCACGACACTCCCACACACAGCACACAATCCCTCCCCTATGCCTGGGAGATAATTGAGTCAGATACTGTATTAACTCAATTATCTCCAGGCAGAAAAAACACATTTCTATAAAACCCCAAAAGTACTTCATAACACATAATATCCCCACAAATGTTACATCCCTATAACCATGATCTTGGTGACCAACATATCCAAAAATCACCCAGATCAGTTCAGGGGTTCAGGAATTCTATGGAAGTCACATATTTGACCGATGGCATGCATGATCAAAACAGTTCCAGAGAATCCGGGTTTGCGGTCGGTCTAGTTCAGTAGTTTGAAAACGAACAAACTACCGAACAGAGTCAATAGTCTTACCCTGGAGCTTGTTTCCCTCATCCAGGCGAATTATTTCACCTAACAGTGCCCTTCTAAGTTGAATAAAACTGAACGCATGATGGAAGTCCAGCGATGTTGGGGAGTTTCTGTGTCCGATTTTTAGTTCCATGAGATTCATGCCCAAACACTGCTGCCTGCATTCATGTGAACAATATGGCCGCCACCTCGTGATTATCCATAGGAATTGCGGCCACACTAAACGTTCCAAGTTGTTAATAGGTGTTAACAAGCTCCAGGGTGGTCTCTGGTTTGTGCGGTTGTTCAGGAATTCGAAGTGCCAATTTGAACCGCTTCGGGAATTCAAAGTGTTACCATATAAGTCATAAAAGGCACGAACAGTGGTTTTAACCAAGTTTTATCACAGGGGTCATAGTCACAGGGTAGGAGCCTGGCAAACAGGCTGTCAGGATTACAAGTTGATCCAGCATGCAGTACTGTGTCACACCTAGGACTAAGGATAACGTATAACCGTACCTTAGAATGGCCGGACTGAACGTCTCCAAGAATAGCCAAAATACTTGCCGAGGTCAGGGACACAGAATCAGACACAAAGATGAGGGAAAGCCAAAAGTCAAGGATACCAGATATCGGGGAATTCAAAACAAAGCCAAAGTCAAATACCAGAAAATCAAGATCAGGAACGCACCATAGGCATTAAACCACCACAGGACAATGAGCAAGAGGAGAGTTGGATTTCAATACCCCTCCTATGGATTTGATTGGCCATGACCGGCCTT